TTAAAGCACGGTCCAGTCGTTATTTGGCTAAATAAAACATTAACTTGCTTAAGCAAAACAAGAAAACGAATGATGTGTATTTTACTCACAATTTTGTCAAATTTTGTACACCCATAGCGTTTTTGCAGTTTCTTTATGTTTTGGCTGTTATATTCGATGTTCGCAGCAGCTGCTGCAACAGTTGCTGCATGGTGTTGGGCGGCTTGCGAAGTAATCCCACTGCCCAAAAAAGGCGACGGAGTGTGAAAATGCAACTTCCACAAGTTTTGATTTAAACAGTGCGGATTAAAAATAGCTGCGCTATTATGGTTGTTGGGAATAGTATTACCACTACCTGCGTTACTTGTTCCAACATTTATTATATTAGAATTCAAATTGCTTTCGACACCATTATTGTAGTTATTATTCGAACTATAATACTGGTCAATATGTGATGAAGTTTCCACCGAATCATTTCCATTTCGATAGAGATTCGATTCATCTGTCACATATCCATTACAATAGAAGTCTTGCATTACATCATCCACCAAAGAATCCGTATCATGTTTAATAGGATCTATTAGAATCAAGACAGATACATATATATAAGAATATGCCATGATTAATTATTGAATCATGTGAATATGCTGCATTTTAATTTTTTTTTTTTTCAACTTACATACTTCAACAACGATAGAAGTATTTATTTCATTAATTTGACCAGCTGGCCAAATTGTATATCTCCAATTGGCATATTCATTTTGGTTTGTATTTACAGATTTATAAAATCCAATTAGAGAATATGTAAATATGTACATACATATGTAAATATGTACATACATATGTACATATAAAGATAGATTTATGTCGACAGACAGGCGCCATTGACGGCGCCAAGCGACTACTACCCGTTACAGAAAACATTTTACACTTTAATTAGCCCGAGGGTTGAAATTATTATATCACCTTGAAAGCCTCTTATGCATATTTTTTATATTTTATAATTACCATTTCTATACTTGCAAGCAGCCAACATTGCAAACATTTTTAGGGATTTTGATATCTCGTTTTTTTGTTGATTTTGGGCCAATGTGGCTTTAGACGTTCTATATGGTTCTTTATGTTGGATATTAAAGTTTTCGTCGAATTTGCTAAATTCTTGAGACTGATATGTATTTTTCTTTCCCATAAAACCTGAATGTAGTGCCGTGTCTGTTACAGATATTCCGTTGCCAATATTAAAATATCCATAACTATGTGGTTGCGGCTGTGACATAGTTATAGGACTAGCGTTGCTGGGACTTGGCGTCGAAGAAAGCAATGGTAATGGAATTGAGTTTATCAAATTAGGCGAAAGTTGAAACATGGACGTTTCTAAAGACGAAGGTGAGATACTCTTTAGTCCATCAAAGGTGCTTGTAGTATCCAGATGCATTTCCTGCATGCACTTAACGTCAAGAGATCCAATTTCCAAGAACGAAGCAAAATGGTCCTTTTAGGGAGTATTTAGCAGTATTCATTAAGGTTATGTTATTGAATAAATAACGGGTATTTCACTTTCTCTTACCCTTTTAAGATCTACATCATTGTGCGTGCGTAGCATGATTTCAACTCCAAAGCAGACTCTTGCTCTAGATGCCCGTTATTTTTTTTACTTTTCACTTCACTTCACTTGCTCAACCAAGAAATTAAAACATATTACCATTACGCACTTATAACTTGCAAGTACTTTTAATTTGCCTCTAGAATTTAGGTTTTTAGGGCAACCAAAGTTTCTCACTCCAATAAATTCTTTACTCAAAATACATATTCTGTTGATTCCACGAATTAAATGTTTGTTTTTGTATTTTCCAATTGAAGGCACATGCTAACGGTTTTTGTTATGTCGTACAGGGTGTTCGTAAATCAAAGAAATTGTATAAGTACCAAGTGGCATTTTATTTACTTCAACGTTTGGCATCTCTTATAGGGAATTTACATGAGGCGATTTTTAGTTTAAAGCAACAATCGCCTGGTGTAAACGGCCTTTCAACTAATCGCTTTCAATGAAGTTGGTCGGCTGCCTACTTTCGTTCAACTTTTGGTTCAACTAATCGCCTGTGAAAGGTGAATCATGTAAATTCCCTGTTAGGGTTCCCATTCCCAATACCTGCAAACATGCAAACAACCGGCCGTCTTCATCTCCTTTTAACCGGCTGTCTCGCACGCGTTCTCACCCCTATTCTGCAATACTTTCGTATTTACGAATCGTAGAAATGGTATGCTGCTATCCGAAATTCGTAACAATGGCATACCTAAAAACGAACGAGTAATAAATTGACAGCGTTTTTGCGTAATTTTGTACGTAACCATTCTGCGTCGCAAGCGAAATAAAAATTAGTCAAAAAGATGTAAGTCGATGTGTGGTTTATTTGAACGAACTAAAAGATTTGTTGCCCTTTATAGAGAACCTTGGGTACGGTTGTTATTCGCACAAGGTTTTTCAGTTGTTGTGTCCAAACGCATGACCCGAACCTAAAAGCTTTAACATACACGTGTAGTCAAAGGATTAAGCTTCAATTTAACACCCCTGTTCTGCAATTCTTTCGTATTCGGATTTTGCTACGAATCGTAGAAATAGTATGCTGCAATCCGAACCGTATTTTCGAATTTTCGAAATTCGTAACAATGGCATGCCTAAAAACGAACCAGTAAGCTTTTTTTCGTAATTTTGTACGAAAAAAATTCTGTGTCGGAGGCGAAATAAAAGATGTAAATCGATGTGTGTTTGCAAGAAATATTGGTGGTGTTCATTTAAACAGATAAGTTTGCCTTTCGCATATACGTATATTTTTATCCACTGCTTTATATATTTTCGGTTGTTCGGCGTGGCCGAAGGCAGAAGCAAGCGCAACAGGTGGTGGACCTAACAAAGTCCATGGCCCGTAGTTATAGTCAAAATAAAGTCGACTTTAAAGTTAAAAGCAGGTTTTTTGACAGATATCCCATTGAAAGTTATGTCAAAAAGCTGCTTTTAACTTTAGAGTCGACTTTATTTTGACTATAACTACGGGCCCATGTTTTCAATGGCTTGGAAGAAGTTATTGCATTAACTGGATTGAGAACCAGTTCTTCAGGCATAGGAGTAGTTCTGGCTTGTGGTTCAACAATTTAACCAGAAGCTGACATATACGCGCCCATGGTTACTATGCCCGACAGCTCCGCATGTCTTTGTGAAATCATTCCCATAGCGCCCGCTTACTCTGCTGCTATAATTGCAAATGCAATAGAATCCATAGTTTCCTCCAAAATATGTAAAATCAAACAATTTTACTATAAATAAGCACTTCATGAGTGTTTTTTTAATTCCTTTCCACTTTGTTTTCCTTCATTCAGCTATCTTCGAAAAACAACTGATAGCTGGCAATGCTGCACATGTTTCCGCAAGGGTTGTAGCATGTGGATTTTTCGTTTTTCGTAGCTTAGCTACGAATCACGAATTACGAAAATTCGGGTTCTACAATAAGGAGGAAAATTCATGTAAACTTTGGGTGTGAATTGAGATTTTGAAATAACACCCGTAATGCAAAATACTTGCGATTGTAATTTAGAGCTGTAAAATGATTGAATCTGTAGGATCGGCATTCACTTGGCATTCGTTTCAAAATTTTGATTGTTTGGTTGTATAAAAAAAACCTCATTCCTGAGTGGCTTAAATTATTTTGAAACAAAAACAAACGTAATCTGTTATTGAATGGCGGAGTTCCATTCAGTATAGAATGTGAATGTAACAAAAGTATTCGCAATCATCGTGATTGTAAATTTTGGTTGAATGCAACCAGTTTTAGTAATTCATTACTACACTGAAAAATATGCCTTGACACTAGAAGAAAATCTGTATAGGAGAAAATAGTCGTTTTACTTCTGCCTTTCTACTACTGCTACAATTTGGCAAAGACGGCCGGTCATAATGCGAACATCGGCTCTGCCTTCACTCTTGGGGCTTAAAATCTTTCAAGATAAATTGAACAAATTTTAATTAACATTGGAAATTTTAAAATAATTAAGGAATGCATTTTCCGTAAATTATACGTACAAAATAAAAATATTTTCTTGCGTCATAATAAGCGTTCAGCACAAAAATTATGCAAATACTGACGCGATAAATATTGAGCATGTAGCATTCGTGCGCGGTCCATCAATCCATCAATATATCGTGATAATTACTGACCGTGAGACAGAGCCCTGTCGATCTTGGTTATAAGACTGTTATATACGTATGTTTATGTGTACGGGACCGAGGCGAGAATTTTTAGCTGTTTCCTTGACGACAGCGTTTTGAAAATAAAATTGACTATCAAGTTGCATACAGTCTACGATATATCTGTCAATTCAAATAAATTTCGACAAGCAGTATGTGTGATCAATTTGACTGCAAGTTCACGATTGTGTAAACACACCGAACCCAAATTAAAATTGTCATATAGTGTGAGTCCGGCAGCGTTAACCTTTGACAGTTCTGATCAGTGTTGCCATTATGTATCACTTTTTTAGCTCCAGAAAGTTTAAGTTGTATTTGGTATATATAAGCCAAAACTTTAGCGTTGATAATTTGGAAAATTTCGAGATGCAGTGTATCCACCATAAACTCTTGGATCTAGGTTAAAGAATTCAAAAATTAATTAAAAGAAAAACCTTTTTCTGATAGCGCGGATTTTTTTAAGGAGAGCTTGAAGTAAACTTTCCAAAAAAATTTTGCGAAAAAAGTATTCAATACAAATATCTGAAATTTCAGACTTAAACAGTTTGTAAAGTATTTTTAGTTCATTGTTATAAGTGCCATAGCACCGAATTCGAAATATATGCACATTATTTTGGTTTTAAAAGATTTTTTCAGCACTTAAACCTATAAAATTCGTTGTTTTTATTGAAATTGCCGAAAATGTAAAACCAACCTTACGTAAATAAAAGCTCTTCATTTTAGCTACTATTAGCTCTTATTTTCGATCGTTTTAGCTCCAAACGAAATATATCTGGCAACACTGGTTCTGATCAGATTATTACGTCTGGCACTTCAGCGGCATGATTTCTTCAAAATATTCCCTTCATTGGCAATAGCTCGAAATTACATAAATTCATTTGGACATTTATCAAATCATTACTTTCAATTCCATTAAAATTAATAGTTGCACGAAAATTAAAAACATGGTAAGCGAACACAATTTTGATATGAATATAATTGTTGGAATTAATCATGTAATACTTTTAACTCATGGTTGGTTAAACTATTCCGGTGCTCGCTTATTTGTGTATATTTGCTTTCATTGAAGAACAAATTCTTAACGACGTCGCGCGGCACATGTAGCCGGCTTGTGCAAGGCTACAATTTTTGGAGAGGGCATTTAAATGAGGTAAGTTACTGTGTTTATTGCAGAATTTGAATTCTTATATGTAAGTTGCAGCGCTGGTATACGCAACCAAGTCGAAGGCCTGGGTTTTTCTCGAAGTTCATCGACAATTTAAAGTCTGAAATGGATAAAAATAAGGAAATGAAGGAAAATATAAAAAAATTCCGAGAAGAAGCACATAAGTTGGAGCAGTCTGAAGCCCTTCAATCCGCCAGACAAAAATTTAACATTGTCGAGTCTGAAGCACAAAAGTCTTCGAATATTTTAAAAGAACAATTAGGAAGCATAAAGGACAAAGTCAGTGATGCAATTGACGAAGCAAGTAAATCCGATATTGCAAAGAGAGCATCCAAATTTTCTGAAGGTATTTCGAAGACAGCTAAAGGTGTAACAGATACCATAACCGAAAAAGGTGAAAAAATTGGGCAGACAACTGCTTTTCAAGCTATATCATCTACAACGGAGATGATTAAACAGGAAATGGGATCTCAGAGCATAAATTCTAGAGTTTATCGTTCTCCTCTAAAACTACGAAGACGCGTTGAGGTAGAGCATGGGAACGACGACCGTGTAGTCGAGCCTAATGTTGATGCCACAGGTAAGAATAGAGTTAAACATTTTTTGCGCACATTATAAAATTGCAAAACCATGAACTATGTTTATACATACTTTGTGCAGTTTGTATTTAACATGTATTATGCTTACGGTGACCATTCGTACCGATTTTGGCGGGACAGTATCGATTTTGAGAAAATTGTTCCACTGAATTTTTCATATTTCTTAGTGCAACAAGAGTCTTCCAGTACTCTGGCCCAAAAAAAAATTTTTCATACAAGCGTGGCAGCACTTTCGTTATCGAACATACATGCCAATTCTTAATACTCCCGGGAAGTTTGTTCTCCGGGAATTTGTTTCGCTCGAGAAATAAATCCCTCAATAATTAACTTCTAGGAGTAACATTTTCCCCGAAAACTTGGGAGGAGGAAATTCGAATTTCGAAAAAGGGTTTGCCACTTTTTTGAGAGCCAACTCCTCCATTATTTAATATAAAGGATCCTGGTGAAATTTTTATTCATGATAGGCGGAAAGGAAAAAGAGAAAACCCCGGGGAGTTTCTGTTCAGAATCGGCCTTATAGAATATAGGGGAGCCACAAATATGGCAAGTATCCGTATTTTCTATGAACTTTCGTTATGTTTTGTTCTGTCAAACTGGTACGTTCCCTATATTGCTGTCATTATTCTTGCTAACAGTTTTTTAAGGTCTGATGGTATCAGATTTTGAAGCGTGTCCTAAAAAGTATGTCAAGTGAAATTCTGTTTGATTCTGAGTAACGTAAAATTTTTATATTTTAAATTGTGGTCTAAAATACACGCTATCTTCCAAGGAACGCGAATGTTTTTACCGGTCCTTGGGGAGATATTTATGCCTTTTTAGGAACAAATTCTAAAAAAAAAACGCTTTAATTGGTATTGATTGATAGCGCATTTTCGAAAGGCTTTTAAAGTAACAATTTCGATCTGAAAGTGGTCTAAGTCGCTAGGTCAGTAGAAGATGGTTGCTTAACAGAAGGATTTTAAAGTAACAATTTCGATATGAAAGTGGTCTAAGTCGCTAGGTCATTAGAAGATGGTTGCTTAACAGTTACTCCAAATGACGTTGTATTGTGGAGCCAGCCCATAATAGTCTGTACACGAGTGTTTTCATACAAAATGATGTAAACTACTACTACAAACGTAAGAAGTTAAGTAGTATTAAGCGTTTAAAAACAAGTTTTAAATTAAACTAGTAAAAAAATATTTTATAACTATTTAAAAAGCTAATCAGCCTCATCATGAGTTTCATTTTCCCCGAACGGGTTCACGTTTCACTTTTGGTTCCATCTTTCAGGTGAATTTTTTTTTCCCGGAAACTCGGGATCACGGTTAGAACCATGATAAAAAAGAAGGTAATTTCTTTACTACAATTTTTTGATTAGAAAGCAGATTTTTGACATTTATCCAGATATAAACATTAAGCATAGCTGTGCCACACCGGAATTTTTTGAGAACGGATATTTTTCATGATATAATTGGGATTGCATACAAAATTAATATTAGCATACAAAAAATTACAAGTTGAAAACGGTTTGGGAATCAATAAAAAATACATGTATTTATTAAAAAGCTTTAGATGTTAACAAATATTGGTTTTTCTAACTCAATTACAGTGCCGGACAAAAGTATTGGCACCAGGGTACGAAGATAAACTATATTGTACGTTACTATTTCGTTTCGTTTACTCACGAAATCCCGCGATCAAGCCCTCCGGATCCCGAGATAGAATTTAATTTACTACCAAACTAAAATAAAACGACATTCAGACGCTGTAATGGCATACAAGAATAATAAAATGCAACCCTACAAATAATCAAATAATATATTACAATTCTAATACTACTATTATTCTGTTATAATATATATAACATACATATGAGGCATTCTTTTTCATACCGGACACCAAATTTGGTGTCACAATTTCGATTGGCTTCATATTTTTCCTTTTTTCTTCGGATATACATACATATGATCTGTCAAATTTTGGATTTTTTCGTGATTCTGACTAAATACTTCTTCAAATCTTTATATCTCGGGTTCTGTTCATCGCACAGTGGCCAATTTTTCGAAAAAGCGAAGTCGAAGCGTGGTGCTATTGTAATCAAACCTTGTGTATTCGTCATTATTTTGGTTGCTGGTTTTAAATTTCACCACATAATTTCGAAATTGAAAATGGCGGATCCATAATGGCTGCTGTGGTCGCTTAGAATAATCAGATTTTTAGCAAAACGGAGGTAGTTAAGTAAAAAATGTCATGTGTTCGGCTTTTTTGTTATATAATGTGATGTAGCGGTTAGCAATATACGCTATCATTCCGCAGGGCCTGGGTTCAAGCCCAATTTCCGACCAACATCAAAAAATAAGAAACAAACAAGTTTTTTTGTAATAAAGTCGCCCTTTGGCAGGCAATGGCAAACCCCCGAGTGTATTCAACCACGAAGAACAGCTTCTCATAAAAATAAAATCCCCGTTCGGATTCGGCGTTAAACTGTTGGTCTCTCCCCTTTGTGCGCCAACATCAAGGCGCACGCCACAAATCGGAAGAGCAGCTCGGACAAACACTAACGAGGTCTTAATGTTTGTTTCTAAAAATCTTGATGTTCAAATTTACACGGGAACTGCGGGATTTTGAATGAATCAATAAACAAGACATACATATTTGTTGGTACAGGAATATATTTTTCAGATAACAAATTTATACACCGTCAGACTCGCAGTCTTCTGAAGTATCCAAGCTTCTATCTATATTTACTGATGGCAAATCCGCATCCGCATTTACAACAGTTGATAATAATTTAATGGCATCTGACGACAGTTTATGATTTTTTTTGGTGGGTTTAAACGTAAACTTGAAATGACAGGGGCCGAGGATACAAGCAGCCGATATTTTTTAATATCCTTATTCCTTGACTCTTGGGTTTCTTCGGAAATTTACCCAATTGGCAGGGGTGCCCATTCAATAATGAGAGGCCCATGGATGAGCACTCTAATATAGTAGTACTTTCTGACATCATATCTTTAAAACATCAAAATCTTGACAGAAATATTTTTTTACATAATTTAAATCTTTTAAACATAAAAAAATTAAGAATCGCATATAAAAACTGATGTCCAAACTACAGTGGCGGCTTGTGGCAGGCGGTTTTAACCAAGGTGGATGGGAAAAACTTTAGTATATATGAAAAAGAAAATTAGACCGCTAATCTTGACCACTCTCGTAACTATTTTCCTAATCTATAATATAATGAGTAAACAAAAAAGATCCATCCGTGAATATCTATGCCAGTTTTTGGATGGCGTGACAATGAAAAAACATGTTTTACATACTCTAGATTATAATGTCCATGAGCGGATGCTTGAAAACTGTTAATTTTTTTTAAGAATATACCACGATTTTAACAAAGACGAAAACTCTAATTTACGAAAAGTTTAGAGCGAATTGCTAGCAACAGTCACTTCGATCTTCTGTAACACTAAATGCCTTAAGAGAATCGACTTGTTGTATAACGATACGCAGTAGAGNGAGTCACTTCGATCTTCTGTAACACTAAATGCCTTAAGAGAATCGACTTGTTGTATAACGATACGCAGTAGAGCCCTCCTAACAATATAAGATGGTTATGCCTACGAATGCACCAATTTTTTTTTTAGTTTTGGCCAGGGTTTTTCACAAATTGGCCACTGTGCATCGTAGAGACTTCATTGTTGACTCCCATAAAAGAAACCACCTCGTCATAAAAAAAAATTAAATAGTTCTTAAAAAACTCCCAATTTTTGAAACATGTAATGTGTAATTTTAAATCCCAAATTTACTGGTCTTTACTATGCAAATCAACTTAAAAAAGTTCAATGTGTGGATACCTTAATAGTCCATGAAAATTCCACACTACCTCAACTTCAAGGCCCAACATCTCAAGAAATATCGATCTTAGCGATTTGGTGTTGCAAATTGAATGTCTACAAGTACGTCATTTATATTTTCGAGATAGTAGCAAAAAACGATTAATGAAAAATTGGGTTTAGTGACCCGTACTACCTCGCTGGTGGGAGTAAGGATTACACCGCAGTGAACACTTTTGTTTTGTGGAGCATTCAATTCTGAAGAAAACTCATCATTGACCAAGATTATACCGTAAAATTCCTCTGAGTTGTAGACTTTTGAAGAAAAACACTCAAAGTTTAAGTGTATTTTATATTGGAAATCTTTGCACGCCTTGAGCGAGTACTTAATGTTAATATTAAGGGTTAAAATTGTCAGGGTGTTTTTTTTTTAGGCGTTTTCCACTAAATTTCGAGGTAGGAGTGACAAAAAAAACNTTCAGGGTGTTTTTTTTTAGGCGTTTTCCACTAAATTTCGAGGTAGGAGTGACAAAAAAAACACCCCAATATTCATACAAGTATTTGAATTAAGATTAGCTTAATTTTTACCAATAACATTCAGAACTTCTAACTTTAAGCAATTTTTAATCCTTCTAGGTGTGGAACTACACAAGGATTCGAAATTCTACCAATCGTGGGAAAATTTTAAGAATAACAACGCATATGTTAACAAAGTGCTTGACTGGAAACTTAAATATGATGAGTCAGAAAATCCTGTTATACGCGCCTCTCGCCTTTTGACCGATAAAGTTTCAGACGTTATGGGTGGACTTTTTTCGAAAACAGAGCTTTCTGAAACGCTCACTGAACTTTGTAAAATTGATCCCAATTTCGATCAAAAACAGTTTCTTCGTGATTGTGAGACTGACATAATACCGAACATCCTAGAAGCGATGGTTCGTGGAAATTTAGACATTCTGAGAGATTGGTGCTTCGAAAGCACATACAATATTATAGCAACACCAATAAGCCAAGCAATAAAAGCTGGTATGTACTTGGATTCAAAGATCCTGGATATCGAAAATATAGACTTGGCAATGGGCAAAGTTATGGAGCAGGGTCCGGTGTTGATAGTAACCTTCCAGGCTCAACAGATTATGTGCGTTCGTGACCGTTATCACCAAATAGTGGAAGGTGATCCTGATAAAGTCATGCGCGTGAATTATGTGTGGGTTCTATGCCGAGACCCAAACGAGTTAAATCCAAAGGCAGCTTGGCGGCTTATGGAGCTGTCCGCAAACAGTCAAGAACAATTTGTATAATAAACTTTTACATGTTAGCTTTTAACAGTTTCACACTTTAATGCCAACATGTCACGAACTGTTTCTAGGTAATTAATTGTTTCCTATATATGTAGATACGCATATGTACATACATACATATATTAGATGAAAATAATTTTCGGTTTTCGCTAGCGAATTATCCAAAAACATTAAAGCATGAAGAGGTAGGTTGTAGCAATAATTTCTTGTTACGTTGGGCAAATTAAGTTAAGTTATTAACCACTTTGTATATAACTAGTTTAAAATAATAAAAAATAGTATAGTATTTCGATTATAAAAAATTTCGGCACCGTTTTAAATAACTTTTTTGCATAATTTTTAAATCATGTCCGAGACCTCTATCGCATATTTACGAATAATAGGTTTGTTTTTTTTTTAATTTTCGGGCTAGTTTCGGGCAAATGACTGGAAGAATGAAATGCTCTTACAAAAGTGAGTAAACTGCCCAAAACCACGAGAACGTAAAACCAGGGACCGAAAATAATCGTTATCATGAAGGATTTTTATTTAAAAATCATTCTATAATCGTTATTTTATGATTTATATTTTTTCAATCAAAAATAATCGTTATAATAATCGTATACTGATTGGTCAGCTATGAGGATTTTCGTCGTGGAGGAGTTATCCATTTATATAGATAGGCACATGCAATTTCGCAATATTTCCACCCATTATCAAAAGAATAATTACAATAAAAATGACGAATATCGGGTCGCTATAACCTACAGCCTCCATACAACTGATTGTTCAGATATGAGATTTCTTTTTATAACTTCTCCATTTATGCAGCTGGAAACATGAAATTTCGCAATATTTTCACTCATCAACAGAAAGTTTACAGTGAAATGAACAAAGACCGGGCCACTATTTCCTTTTTATTACCTCCATACAACTGATTGTTCAGATCCTAGGGGGTGAGAGCATTACAATTCCGACTTTACTGTTTTTAGACCATCCTAGTGTACATATGCATGCCTTGTAATACTGCTTTTTAAGTCAAATCTGTGCACATTCGGTTTATACATTAAAAAACTAAGAATAACCGCTATTTTTGATCGAAAAAATTAAAATCATAGTATAACGATTAAAAATGATCGAAAAAATAGAAATCACAAAATAACGATTAAAAATGATCGAAAAAATAAAAATCATAATATAACGATTAAAGATGATCGAAAAAATAAAAATCACAAAATAACGATTAAAAATGATCGAAAAAATAAAAATTATAAAATAACGATTAAAAATTATCGAAAAAATAAAAATCATAAAGTAACGATTAAAAATGATCGAAAAAATAAAAATCATAGTATAACGATTAAAAATGATCGAAAAAATACAAATCAAAAAATAAAAATTATAAAATAACGATTAAAAATTATCGAAAAAATAAAAATCATAAAGTAACGATTAAAAATGATCGAAAAAATAAAAATCATAGTATAACGATTAAAAATGATCGAAAAAATACAAATCAAAAAATAAAAATTATAAAATAACGATTAAAAATTATCGAAAAAATAAAAATCATAAAGTAACGATTAAAAATGATCGAAAAAATAAAAATCATAGTATAACGATTAAAAATGATCGAAAAAATACAAATCAAAAAATAAAAATTATAAAATAACGATTAAAAATTATCGAAAAAATAAAAATCATAAAGTAACGATTAAAAATGATCGAAAAAATAAAAATCATAGTATAACGATTAAAAATGATCGAAAAAATACAAATCAAAAAATAAAAATTATAAAATAACGATTAAAAATTATCGAAAAAATAAAAATCATAAAGTAACGATTAAAAATGATCGAAAAAATAAAAATCATAGTATAACGATTAAAAATGATCGAAAAAATAAAAATCAAAAAATTACGATTAAAAATGATCGAAAAATACAAATCACAACATAACGATTAAATTTTGATTTTTATTATAAAAATCATAACGGTTACGGTCCCTGCGTAAAACACATATTTTGTGCCCGAAACTAAACGTCAAATCTCACAAAATTATAAATTTAAGATTTGAAACTCGCCCGGAAAAATAGGCTGGGCGATCTCGGGCTAATGAAAAACTAAATTTGCTCTCTCAAAGTGACACTCAACCGCTCGAGAACCTACCAAAGAAACATAAAATGGGCACTTTCGTGCAGCAAAAAAAAACAAACGTAATCAGCCTCATTGCGTAAGTCGTAAATTAGGCTAAGGGCCGGTTGCTCAAAGCCTGGTTGACACTAATCTCCGCTTAAACATCGTTATCGACATTACCGACACCGTGTTATATGCATGAAGTCGAAAACGTCGATAACGATGTTAACCGAGGATTAGTGTCAACCAGGCTTTGAGCAAACCGGCCCTAAATTGTACGCCTCGACAACATCTGCATTGTCGACTGTCGTGCTGAAATAAGTAAACAACGAAATTCGGTGAAAACTATGCAGTGCTGCCAAGTTTTTCTGTTTTAATACACTAGTCGAGCGGAAATTTTAGACAATGACGTGAAATTTTCGATAGGATTCGACTCTCTAAAAACGATTTGCATTCGACACGACTCTCGCAATGAGGCTGAATATCAAATGGACTCCATTACTGTACATCANAAAACGATTTGCATTCGCCACGACTCTCGCAATGAGGCTGAATATCAAATGGACTCCATTACTGTACATCAGCATGTTTGCAGCATAATCAGCCTCATTGCGTAAGTCGTAAATTAGGTTAAATTGTACGACTCGACAACAGCAGCATTGTCTATTGTCGTACTGAAATAAGTAAACGACCAAAAGCGTCGAAAACTATACAGTGCTGCCAAGGTTTTCCGTTTTAATACACTAGTCGAGTGGAAATTTTAGGCAATGACGCGAAATTTTCGATACGATTCGACTCTCGAAAAACGACTTGCATTCGACACGACTCTCACAATTAGGGTCATTAAGAATGAAGACTGAGCAATTTAGTAGACAAGAAGTCTGAGCCTTCATGGCAATACCTCCGACAACGCAGAGAGGCCAGAGTAACAAAGATCTTGAAACATTCATCATAAAAATATTTGTGTAGTCTATCCAGAAGACGCTTTTGGAGGATGGTTCCGTGCGCAGGAGTGGAAAACTTTTGACTGCCATTCACCTGGGAGTGGCCAGAAGCGATTCTTGTGCGTACGGTTCAAATCGCAGCTCACAACGTCCGGATATTTATATCCACGTATCCTCTGGGTAGCAACCAAACACCCGTTTGGGAGCGAGCTAAAGTGAGAAGGCGTAAAACTTCGCGTGCGCTGGGTTTGGGTCCCGCCACGTTAAAACCCCGCCCAATGAAAAGAAAAAAACAGCCTCGGATGAGACCCCCTTTTTCTGATGACGACCACGGCAAACGTATAAAGGACTATGATTTAAGGGTATGCACCTGGAATATCCGGACCCTTAATGGGGAAGGTGCCTCTGCCCGGCTGGTTGATGTCCTCGGGAAGACAAAGGCTGACATCACCGCCATCCAAGAAATGCGATGGACGGGGCAAGGTAAAGTAAGCGTGAAGCCTTGCGACGTCTACTACAGTTGCCACGTAAAGGAGCGCAAATTCGGTGTTGGATTCGTGGTAGGAGAGAGACTCCGTCGCCGAGTACTGGCGTTCACCCCGGTGGACGAACGTCTAGCCACAATCCGCATCAAAGCTAGATTCTTCAACATCTCGCTCATCTGCGCCCATGCCCCGACGGAAGAGAAGGATGAGGCGTCCAAGGATCTCTTCTATGAGCGCTTGGAACGTACATATGAGCGCTGCCCCCGACACGATGTCAAAATCGTGCTTGGCGATTTTAATGCCAAGGTGGGCAAGGAAGGGATCTTTGGCGCCACTGTCGGAAAATTCAGCCTCCACGACGAAACGTCCGATAACGGACTGAGGCTGATCGACTTCGCCGGGGCCCGAAATATGGTAATATGTAGTACTAGGTTCCAGCATAAGAACATCCACCAAGCTACATGGCTGTCTCCAGATCGAAAAACGAGAAACCAAATCGATCATGTTGTGATAGACGGAAGGCATGCTTCAAGCGTTTTGGACGTACGTACACTCCGAGGGCCAAACATCGACTCGGACCACTATCTTGTTGTAGCCAAGATACGCACCCGCCTCTGTGCAGCAAAAAATGTGCGCCCAACAATGCAAGGAAAGCTTAACGTCGAAAAGCTGCAATCACAACAGACGGCCAATTTATTCGCCACTCGACTCACACACCTGCTCTCTGAGAGCACTCTTCAACAATCCGACGTACGCGAGCAGTGGAACCACATTTCCCGATCATTAAGTACCGCCGCCGAAGAAGTAGTTGGATTTCAGCGAGCCCGAAAGAACAACTGGTACGATGAGGAATGTCAAGAAGCCGCAGAGAAAAAAGATGCCGCCTACAGGGCCACGCTGCGATCGGGCGCAACGCGAGCCATGTGGGACCGTTATAGGGAACTGAAGAAGGAAGCGAGACGTATTTGCCGCAATAAGAAGAGAGAGGCCGAAATACGTGAGTGCGAAGAGCTTGAGATGCTGGCCGACAGGAAGAACGCCCGAAAATTCTACCAGAGGGTTAGGCGACTTACGGAAGGTTTCAAGACCGGGGCGAACTCCTGTAAGAACAACAATGGCGACCTAGTGACCGATGTCCAGAATATACTTAAATTGTGGAGGGAACACTTTTATAACCTACTGAATGGTAGCAGCGCTGAAAGTAGTGAGGAAGACGAACCCGAGTCCCCAGTCGATGATGATGGAGTAGCTGTCCCACCGCCTGACTATGACGAGGTACGAATAGCGATTACGCGGCTGAAAAACAACAAAGCTGCTGGAGCTGACGGCCTGCCAGCCGAGCTATTCAAGTACGGCGGCGAGGAGCTGATGAGGTGCATGCATCAGCTCGTATGCAGAATATGGTCAGATGAACGCATGCCCGACGACTGGAATTTAAGTGTGCTCTGCCCAATCCACAAGAAAGGCGACCCCGCCATACGCGCCAACTACCGCGGAATTAGCCTTCTAAGCATAGGTTACAAGGTCTTATCGAGCGTATTGTGCGAAAGACTGAAGCCCACCGTCAACGAGCTGATTGGACCTTATCAGTGTGGCTTTAGGCCTGGAAAATCCACCATAGATCAGGTATTCACAATACGCCAAATCTTGGAAAAGACCCGCGAGAATAGGATCGACACACACCATCTATTTGTCGATTTCAAAGCCGCTTTCGACAGCACGAAGAGAAGTTGCCTTTATGCCGCGATGTCTGAATTTGGTATCCCCGCGAAACTAATACGGCTGTGTAAAATGACGTTGAGCAATACCACCAGCTCCGTCAGAATAGGGAAGGACCTCTCCGAGCCGTTTGATACCAAACGAGGTTTCAGACAAGGGGACCCCCTTTCGTGTGATTTCTTTAATCTTATGTTGGAGAAGATAATACGAGCCGCAGAACTGAACCGC